ACTATTCTAGCTTACTATTTAGATGTTCATTTATAATCTTTACAGAGCAATGATTAAGATTACTTTGCTTTTTAAGTCCATTCTGATTTACTAACTTAATCAATTTATGATAGTTTTATTGGTTCTTACTTATGTCATCTTACTTAATGCTTTCTGTGTTGATACTACCCTTCTACTACTGTCATTATTGCTTTGGTGTATTTTATTGCTTTTAATAATATAAAGTGTAGAAATTCTACTTTTATTATATCACTGTTTCAAATTTTGATCTAAATGTGCTCTTATATTAGTAATGTAGATAAACAATGAAAGATAAAGTTGAGAATGTAGATGTGGGATGTATCATGAAAACTCAGTTGAAACGTTTACACTTAATTGTAAAGAGGCAGGAGACAAAAGAATTTTTGAGAAGTGCAATGTGGTTAGAGATAAGTTGTAGAAAAATCAATTAGACAGCACTGTGTAGAATGAAAGAAAGTGAAACGAAAGCACAAGTTGCAAACATAAGTTACAAGAAAGTGCCTTTGTAATTAAAGAGAAGTGCTGAGAAGGAATGAAGATTATAGACTTAATAGAGACTGATGTCAAATTGAGTGTGATGTGCAAATAAAACAAAAGAACATATTGAATGTGGTATATTACTAGTTGACTGGAAAAATTATGGTGGCATTTATAATAAAAACTTTGATGATTGGCTTTATTAGAAGACGATCTGTTTTGGACATGATAGAAGACAAGAAAATATCTAATACTCCACTATGCAGACTCAAGGTTTGGGAGAAGGACTAGAAATGGAAAAGATGGTGAATTGGCCACTGTTGACAGTTGAAGTCATGGGAGCCCATGAATCTTAAGGGAGAGTGCTAAAGAATATCTGAAGACAGAATCTGGGTATCCACGTTGTTACATCATTATCTCTCAGCATTTTTTTAATTCAACTTGTTGACCACTAGGGCTGGGGCTCTGCAGATTCTATATTGGTTGCTGGTACTATGTTAAGTTCCACATATTTGTGAATTTTCTAGTCTCCTTGTATAATTAATTTCTAATTTCATACAATTGTAGTTGGAAGATACATGGTATAATTTCAATCTCAAGTTTGTAAGACCTGTTTCATGATCTACTGTATGTCCATCCTGGAGATGTTCCGTGTCTTCTGCTGGATGGAATGTTCTAGATATTTCTGTTCGGTCTAAAGTATAGTATAGTTCAAGTCTAGTGTTTCCTTATTGATTTTCTATCAAGATGATTTATTTATCCATGGTTGAAACTGAGATATTGAAGTCCTTTACTATTATTGTATTGTTTTCTATTTCTCCCTTCATATCTATTAGTATTATGCTTAATATATCTAGGTGCAATACTGACATGTTAATTTTAAGCAATTGCATTTGCAAACTATAAGCATTTAGCAAAAACTATTGACATTAAAAAAAAATATGTCATATAAGGATATCTGACATGAAGCGTCTACCAGAAAAGACTGAATTTAACTCCTGAACAGCATAATGTTATTTAAAGTTTGTGTATACTTTTCTTAAATTATTTTATTAGATATTTATATTTCAAATTCTGTGGTGTGTTTTTCTCAGTCCTTAACCAGTTACATTGTAGCGTTTTAAAATAAAGTCTTTTATTAAACCACTCCAGTGCATGAATTTGTGCACGGGTGAGGTCCCTTGGCCTGGAAGCTGACTGGGGCCCATGGGACCAGTGGGCTGCGGGAGGGCTCCAGGCCATGTCTGGCCCTCTTGATGAGTACCATTGGGCCAGACCCCAGCAGCAAGCTAACCTACTGGTTGGAGCATGTCCCCTGGTGGTTAGTGCTTGTCATAGCAACTGGTTGAGCAGTCAACCGATGAGACGCTTAGCATAGTATACTTATATTAGAGGCCCGGTGCACAAAATTTGTGCATTTGGTGGGGTCCCCACCAGCCAGGCCTGAGCCCCTCACAGTATGAAAGTCCTTCGGGGATCTCCTAATGATGGCTTAGCACTACTCAGGAGATGGGAAAGACTCCTGCCACCACCGCTGTGTTCACCAGCTGTGAATCTGGCTTCTGGCTGAGTGGTGTTCCCCTTGTGGGAGCACACTGACCACCAAGGGGTAGGTCCTGCATTGAGCATCTGCCCCTTGGTGGTCAATGCGTGTCATAGCAACTGGTTGTTCTGCTGTTGGTCCACAACTGGCTTTCGGACATTCCCTGAAGGGTCCTGGATTGCAAGAGGGCTGAGGGACCCCACCGGTACATGATTGGGGCTGGGGAGGGACAGGAGAGGTTGCCCAGCCAGGGAGGGATGGTGAGAGGGTTCCAGGGCATGTCTGGCCTGTCTTGCTCAGTACTGATCGGCTGGACCCCAGCAGCAAACTAACCTACCAGTTGGAGCATCTGCCCCCTGGTGGTGAGTGCACGTCATAGTGAGCACTTGAGTGGCTTTAGCATATCATTAGCATATTATGCATTGATTGGTTGAATGAATGACGGGACACTCAGCTTTTAATATATAGGATTATATAGGATTCCTTCAGATGACCCAAAATTGTGATGAATTCTTTAGTGCAGAGAGGATACCCCAAGACAGTAACATTACATATACAGAGGTGCCTAATGAGACTTGTTTTTCTATGGCAATGGTTTACATCACACACACATTTACAAATTGTCATCTCATTCAATTTCTAAACAGGTTTTCTATGAAGAATCACATTGTCCTTCAACTCTTTAATACTGATAACTGATCCTAATCATAAACAGTGTCACTAATGATGAGATACATCAATCTCTAAACTCTGCATGTTCAAACTATGCTTCCAGTCACATAAGATGAATGCATAATCAACAGCTAGCAGAGCACTGATAAGAGAGTTTCATATAAATGCCAGGTTTTGAGAAGCAGTACTGAGATATTTTGCAGCACCCTTTACTTGCTAGAGAGCAATAGCTATTGTAGTTTAACCACTTCCGCCCAGAGGAGAGTAAAACTCTCATGTCTCATCAGGAAGAGAGTGGGAGTAAGAGTCAGCTTCTATACAGCGTGAGGATTTGCCAGGGCGTTGGGCCTGAGTGGAATGGACAGTATGCCTGAAATGCTGCTGCTTTTGGTCATTATCATGCACATTGACATCAAAGTGACCAGAGAAGGATATGGTCACCATTTATCCATTTAGTTATTTGAGGATTCACTGAGCACCTCCCTTGTACCAGGCACAGTTCTGAGCTTTTAGAATTCAAAGAACGTGACAGAAACTCGCCTGTCCTCAGAGAGAATAATTATAGCAGGAATTAGTAGAAAAATACTGTGTCTTTTAGAATGCACCATATGTGTATTCTAGAAAAAATATATAAACAAGTAATAATTAATGAAAAAACAAGTCTAGACAGAGATTGGAGCTAAGAGGAAAAGCAACATGAGAGCGTGTGATGGGAAGACACCTGAAGAACGGGAAGACAGTCAGTCGGGCTTATGGGTGGAGAGAAATGCAGATCTCAATGACCGAAAGGCCAGGCATACAGAATGTTTCTTTGCCTCTCTCCTGCTGACCATATTTTGCCATTTCACTATTATTATTGTTCCTCTGAAGTATTGAAATGCTAGTCAATAAATAATCATTGGGATCCCACTGTGTTCTCAGCCCCAGAACGACTGGAAAATGTGGCTGAATTCAAACCACTAAGTCTACTGCTGTGTTGGAGAATAAGGTGGGGAACAATGCTGGTCAGTAAATAACCAGAGCCTTCTTGTTCTGAGGCTCGCATGGAGTCCAGGCTTTTCTAGTCTTTTGTACATCACATATCTGAGATTCAGAGGCTGAAATTCCAGATCCTCGAAGAGGCGGCTTCCTCTATTGCCACTAGGTGGCACCAGTTATTTTCATAATATTTTCAGGCCAAAAAAGAAAACAAAACCTTTTCTAACAGTTCTATTTTAAGTGGGAATAGGTTACCTAGCACCAGTATTAATAAAAGTATTGTTATTTCATTAATAATTTTCTTTGAGGAGAGATAAGAGCTAACATTAAAGACAGTATATTCACTCATTCACTCACACCGTTATTTATTCAATGTGTATCTGGCCCAAATAATCTTTTTAAAAAATTCATGGAGTATATTAAGTATGTATAGTAATAGAACATATAAATATCAGGATCAAAAATAACTGATAAAAATATATTATGATGCTACATATATCTTTAAGAATTTTGTAGGAAATAATTTTAATAAAAGTCTGGTAGAATTCTTTATTTTTTTTAGAAGCAACTTATGCACCTCTCAAAAGAGGTAATATTTTTAAATATACTGAAAAACAAGGTATTTACTATTGCTATGAAGGGTAAAAATGATTACAAAATGTAAAATAGAATAGGAATCACTTAAATATATCTATATCACTTAATCATATCTATACACATATGTAATATGTATAGCTTTATAAAACTTAAACATTTAGATCTGAAAGGATATTTTTTATCACACGATTTCCCTGTTTCTAAGTAGTAAGTGCAATTAAAATATATGCAAAATGTTTCTATAGAAAAACGCATAAAATGTTCTCATTTTTCCAAAAAGTGGTTGATAAACATGCAAAGTATGTTTATTGGGTGGAGAGGGTCAAGGGGAGTGGAAAGGGGACATCTTTAATACTTTAAAAATAAAGATAAGTTTAAACAAAAGAAATGAAAGGTAACTATCCTCACAGCTCCCATTAAAAATGGCTCTGGAATAAACACAACCTATACTTTCAATCAGTAGCTTTTGCCATAAAATAAAGCACGGTGACAAAACAAGTGCACATCAAATGTGCTGAAAGGTACAACATGCTGGGGAAGCATGTCCTAATTACGTCAGAGGGAAAGTTAGAAGTAGCATGTTTACTGAGCTAACAGATCCGTTTTTACACTGTAAACACCTCTGCCACCTCAGGATGAAAGATGAGTGCCTCCAACAGGAGGCTCTCCCCACGTTCCCTTCCTTCCAAAACAGCGAAAAGAGAATACTCACTTGCAGGTCTGCCAGAGTTTTCTGCCTCATGGCAATGAGATTTCTGAATCTCTGGTCTTCCTCGTCCATCCTATCTTCACAGTCTAGTTTCTCACTTATGAGATGATCATAAACAGCTTGCATATGATCCTTTTTAAATCTCACAAATTCATGTTTCTCCCTATTAAAAAAGCATTGCAATCACCACTAATCAATTTACATTTTATTTTTTAAATTGTACTTATGACACATTTTTACAGACACAATATTGAAAAAAATCTTAGAACTGAAGGGCTTTGGAAAAATTCCCTGGTCCCTTCCATAATCTCCATGGAGCTCTGTCTAAGTGATCCAGGAACGAGGAAAGTTCTGGAGAAATTGAGTGGATTCTCTGGGATGTTGACCCACCGTGTCTCTGCTTTGCTGACATTACAGAGGTACCCTTCCTCCATGCAGCATGCAACTCCACGGATACATTTTATTTTTTAAATCCTTACCTGAGGATATGATTATATGATTTTTTACTGGGTTTTAGACAGAAAGAAATGGGAGAAAGAGAAGGATAGTAAGAGGGAGAGAGGGAGGAGAGAAACATCCATCAATCAGTTGCCTCCTGTGTGCACTGACTGGGGATCATACCCGCAACCTTTTGGTGTATAGGATGATGCTCCAACTATATAACATAGCCATCTGGCCAGAGCTCCAAGGATACAATCTGTTTAGATGAAGCCAACCAGCCATGTGGCTGATGTGCAGGAGTGAGTGTATATACATTAAAATAGCCCAATAAGATGGAAGGCCCTGACTTCATGTGGAAGAGGCTCACAATCACTAACTATAACCAAGGAGTCAATGTTTTCAAAGATGCTGCCAACAGGTATGAGGAAGAAACAACGAATGAGCACCTGGCATTGAGTTGCTGTATCAATCTACCTGCAGCTCACCTGACCCAGACACGTAAGAGCCTTTCCATTATTTGAGCTGGTGTGCGAGCCTGTGTGTGTGTGTGTGTGTGTGTGTGTGTGTGTGTGTGTGCATGGATGCATGTACATGCCTGTGGGTATTGTGTCATATGCAACTAAGTACATCTCGACAAAAAGGTAGAACGATTTTTGTGGTGAAATCAGTAGTGATGTATGATTCAATACTAGTAGAATAAGCATCAGAAGGCGGTTAGCACCATACTGCGGATGATCACTATGCTTTGGAAAGAATTCCCAGAGCTGGGCAGCAGCCAGGGTGCAGGATCAGCAGAGCTGCCGCAGCTCAGCGAGATCCTGCCGCCCGCATTCGTCATCACCTTCACTGGTACAGGAAGCTGCACAGTTAGCCACAAAGACAGCAGGACTAAACATTTGGAGGAGCCTAAAAGTTAAAGTGCTTTGAATAGTGCACTCTCTCATTTCAGCCAACCCCAGCCCTGTGAAAAAAATAATGAGAATACCAATCTGCAGACCGGGAACCTCAACTTCCGCATAATTAGCTTGTGTAAGCCAATGAGTCAATGACAGAACCAGATTCTAATCCTGTTCTGTCTGTGCTGTTGGGACTCAACAGTGAAATTCAGTGAGCAGCAGGTCTGACCCAAACCAAAAACTCTCACAGCAAACATCCCTGCATCTTGACCACACAGACTTTACCCTCCATACTATTTTGATATGAGATTATATTCAGTATAGCATCTTATTAATTATATATGTCACATATACTATACATGTTTATATGTATACGAATGTAGGAAAACAGTGTGTCCTTTCTCAGAGTGGTAAAAAGAACAAACTCTCAAGTCCTGTAAGTCTGGTTTTGGATCCTTTTACTTTCTAGGTAAGAAACAATTGTAAACATTTAATGAGAGCCAAGAGTAGCCGTGAAAGCTATTCTTTTTATTCCTTTTATGAACTTATTTTTTTCCACATATTTCAATTGTTTTGAATATGCAAGTTTTTTCTCTCTTTAAAAACTATCTTCAGATGCTTGAAGGTATACTTTCCCACTAGACATTTTTAAAATATATTTTTACTTATTTTAGAGGAGAAGGGAGAGGAAGAGATAGAAACATCAATGATGAGAGAGAATGTGCCCTGACCAGGAATCAAACTGTGACTTCCTGGTTCATAGGTAGGCGCTCACCAACTGAGCAACTTCCTGGCATCTGTGTCCTTGGCATTCACATGGGGGCTCCCTTACAAACTGTAAGGGTTGTTGTGAGGGCTAGAGGAGATGAGGGGCAAAGATTTCCTGGGAAGTGCGCTCTGGAGCACTTTTGCCTCAACAGCGCTCTCATGTAGGCACAGGATGGGGACATTTTAGGACTGAAATGGTAAGAAGCCCGAAGGAAAAAATCCTCAGCTCCTCAGTTAGATCCTTATAAGTTTAATGTGAATTATACACTTTGAGGCTTATCCCTTTGAGCCCCCAAATACTCTTACTGATGATAAACAGTGTAGATTGATATCTTCCAAAGTATACAGCCACACTTCCTTGCCTTCATATGTGATCTACCGAGCATGGCTTGGTCTTGTTCCTATCCGATCATCTGGGCAATACCGTTTTACTCGATGGCAGTGGTTGGCAAACCACGGCTCGCGAGCCACATGCGGCTCTTTGGCCCCTTGAGTGTGGCTCTTCCAAATACCACATACCCTAATTAAGTTAATAACATTGTACCTACCTATATAGTTTAAGTTTAAAAAATTTGGCTCTCAAAAGAAATTTCAATTGTTATACTGTTGATATTTGACTCTGTTGACTAATGAGTTTGCCAACCACTGTTCCATGGCAACAGCTAAATGAATTCTTGTTGACTTGACATCCAGGTCTATGGTATTAGGCTGTGCGTAAGTGTTTCTCTGACACTTGGTCTCTTGGGGGCCTTGGATTTGCTAATGCCATATGAGCCTTCCCTATTTAAATCGGAGTAATATTCCTAGGTGTGACCAGTGTGTATTCCTTTAACAGCCCTCCAAGCCCTGTTCTTGATGTGTTGCAAAGTAGGGAATGAGAGCCCAGAGGAGCAAAGGAAGACTATGGAGGTGCTACGTGGGGGTCTCAGGTGCTACATGGTGCTACCAAGGTTCTCAGAGCACCACTGTCTCAGCCATAGACCCTCCTAAGCCTGGTCAGTGGGGGGAGTGCAAAGGGCAGCCTATCCATGTTGCACTCTCACATCAATGTTTCTCTCTCTTCTTTCCCCTTCCTCTCTCTCACATAAGTACATGAAGAATCAATTTAGTGCAACCAATTAGAAATGAGGGGACTGGATAAGAGGCTTCTGAATAAAGTACCTGAGATTTTGTAGAATACCTATTTCTAAACTCTTCCTTCAAAACGTATTTAAAAAGTGTGAGTGTACAACCATGTATTAACCATGTCATCTAAATGAGAAACACTAAAGTTCATGGGGAGGTTTATTACATTCATATGAAATAAAAGTTATTATACTTCCAAAAAGAGAATCATTTGCAGTGATTCAAATTGAAATAAACAGGAGGGAGCAATGAAAAATGAAAGCAGTTTATAATTTTGTTTTTAAAACAAAATGATCAAACTATGATAGAAAATATGGATTGTTTTAAATGGGAATTATCTGTTTTATAAATAACATATTAAACATGTAATATTTTGATACAATTTAAGAACTTACCTCAAAGTGTCCAATATCTTATCTAAATATATCTTTGCCTTTTCTCTTTCTTCTAGTTCCTTATTCAATTGAGTTAATTTATCTTGATAAAAAGCTGTTTTATTTTTAGCTGCCTCTATTTCACCAAAAATCATTGACTGTTGTGTCTGGAAAAAATATTCAGAGATGTTTTATGTTAAATTCTTAGAATTTAGGGGCACAATTACACTTGGCCATCTGAACAATTAAAGGCAAATAATAACGTTTTATCAATAAAAGCAATAACTGCCCTGGCGGGCTCAGTTGGTTAGGTGTCATCCCGTGCACCTGGGCTGCAGGTCCCGTTCCTGGTTAGGGCACATGCCTGTGTCATGAGCTCGGCTTCCCCCTATCAATGTCTTGCTCTCACATCGATGTTGCTCTCTTCCCTCTTTCACATAAACACATGCAGAATCAATTTAGTCAACCAGTTAGAAACGAGGGGCAGCCATTCAAAATGAAATGTGCCTGAATAGTTTTCATTGGCATAAAGTGTAAGTTGAAATTCTTTGCATATTAAATATCTTACCTCGGTTTCTATTAGTGCTTCCTGGGTTTTCTGCCCCTTTATTTTCAACTTTTTCTTTGTTTTTTCCACAGTTGTTTTAACATCTTCTCTCTTTGCAATGATATCATCTAGTCTCTGGGAGACATTCAGAAATTAAGATGTGAAGCATTTACAATCTAATTATCCTGCTTTAGATCAAATAGTTCTCAAGGGACAATCTAGTAACAACAATGTATATTTTGATATATAATAGAAGGGAAGGAGTACCACACATGAGCATACGATGATACCCACAATCCCAACATTCCAACTGAATTACCTGGGAAAACCAAATCATACCAATTTTAGCTAAGTAACAACCACAAATAAACTCACATTGAAATGACACATTTTCATCACAATATTTAAAATCTTTTAACCAGAAGTAAAACTCCAAATACACATAATCAATTATCATTATATAAAGTGTATATATACATAAAAAAAAACAACAACTCTCATTCTTTCCAATGGTTTATGCTAAATACAGGTTCTTATGATATATAGCTATTAAAACATAATAAAAACAAAAATAATTACTAGACTACAGGAAGATAAAAAACAATGGCTGTTATAAAATAGGGGAAACAAAAATCATTCATCTTTTCTGGAATTCGTTATCAGACTCTGAGGACGTACTGAGGCTTTTACTGCAATTAATTAATTTCCACCGCTGATGTAAGGAGGAGTCCTTATGGAAGTCATTTCTCTCAGTGGGTGTGAGTTACATGAGGCTGTGTCCATACTTCATGGACTTGTACAACCTGCATTTGCTGTGTCCATACTTCATGGACTTGTACAACCTGCCTCTTGCATGTAGGCTCAAGTTTTCTCAAGTCTATGATGCAGTTACACTTTCTCTTGCCTCTTCCACAGAGAGGCTTTGAGGATCAAAATAAACTTTCATATTAGGAACACTTTGCTGATCACAAAGATTTTAAAATACAGAAAACTTGAAAATCAGTAAAGTCTAACAAATTAAATTTACACCGTAATTTGCAATGATAAAAAAAAAAAATCCTGTTGTCAAAATGGCCCCAATGAGTAATATGTATGTACTCCCTGCAGCTAAAGTCGAGAATGTATAACTCTTACCACACCCTCTATTCTCCAAAAGACTAATGACATGATGTACACATATTTTTCTCCTAAATATTTCCTTGGGAAGGGCTGGTAATATCAGTTACTGCCATGGACTTGTTTTGAAATATTTTACCGACATTTGCTTTATTTTTCACCCTAGCTGTTTCCTACACGTATCCAACATTTACCATGAAAATGTCAAGATGCATTGTATTTTATATTTGAGTAAAGACAGCTTTAGTTTTATTAATGAGCAGTGAGGACTCTGAATTAAATGTGCCAGAGAGGGCAATCATACCCAATCAATCACATCTCACCTATTGGGAAGCTGTGCTTCCTAAGGACACTCACAGACAGAATAAGGTTCCAGGCCATAGCATTTGAGTCCTCCTGTGCAGTTAGTTCCACTGTAGGTCAGTGGTGGACTCAGGAAGGAGTTACTTATTCTGCTCACGAATCTATGTCTTCTGAGGTGAAATCACAATTGTCCAAGTGGTAACTAACCTAAAGCCATACCCAAGCTTTGCCAACCTAAGCATCCCTGGGAATTAGTGCCTAGACTAACTGGAGATGCTCACAGTGAAGTGCTTTTTGTGGATGGCTTTGATCTTCTCTGCATTTTCTTCCATCTGAAGCAGAGGTTCCTCAATTTCCACCAGGACCAGGGAGTAGATCGCTTTCCTCCTGGTGAGCTCCTCCCACTCAAGTTCCTCTTCTTCTTGCAGGGAAAACAGCTTTTTCTGCCAACAAAGATGTAAAGTAGTTCATTCAGTTATTAATTACCTAGACACTTATTGTCTCCATCTTGCATCAGGCAGGAATATTTGCTGTTATTTGAAAACTAGTAGCCCTGGGTACGAATCCATGTAGGTCCCTGCCACCCTCCTATAGCTCTCTGCCTGCTGCTTCGCCCTCCTGTAGCTTCATGTGCACCCCCCGCCATCTCCTTCCTCATAACTTGCTGCCCTGACCCTTCCCTGTAGGTCTCAGCTACCTGCATGTAGTTTGCTACCCCACCCTCTTCCAGATCCATTAACTGGTCATTACACGATAGGTCATTATGCCTCAGGGTGTAACAGATAATTAACATATTCCTCTCTTATTATATAAGACAAGAGGCCCGGTGCATAAAATCCATGCACGGGATGGGGGGGTGGGGGGCGGGTGTGTCCCTCAGCCCAGCCTGCACCCTCTCCAATCTAAGACCCCCTCTCACAATTCACTACTGCTGGCTCCTAACCGCTCACCTGCCTGCCTGCCTGCTTGCACCTAACTGCTTCTGTCTGCCAACCTGATCACCCCCTAACCAATCCCATGCCAGCCTGATCAACACCTAACTGCTCCACTGCTGGCCCGATTGGCCCTAACTGCCCTCCCCTGCAGGACTGGTCCCCCCTACTGCCCTCTCCTGCCAGCCTGGTTGCCCCTAACTCTCTTCCCCTGCAGGCCTAGTCGCCCCCAACTGCCCTCCCCTGCTGGCCCAGTCACCCCTAACTGCCCTCCCCTGTAGACCTGGTCTCCTTCAACTGCCCTCCCCTGCAGGCCTTGTCCCCCCAATTGCCCTCCCCTATAGGCCTGTTTGCCCCTAAATGCCCTCCCCTGATGGCCTGGTTGCTCCTAACTGCCTTCCCCTGCAGGCCTGGTCACTCCCAACTATCCTCCCCTGCTAGCCTGGTTGCTCCAAACTGCCCTCCCCTGCTGGCCTGATTGCCCACAATGGCCCTTCCCTGCTGGCTATCTTGTGACGGTCATCTTGTGTCCACATGGGGGCAGCCATCTTGTGTGTTGGAGTGATGGTCAATTTGCATATTACCTTTTATTAGATAGGATAAATGCCACCATTAAAAGCAACTGGTATCAATATAGCCTATTTAGAGAGTGTACAGTTATTTACAAAAATGATTAGAAAAATATCAATGAACAATAAAAATCAAACATTCTTAAGTAAATATTACAAGATAATGTTAGAGAACAAACAATAAATATTGAAATATATGTTAATTTCTGAAATCGAAGATCAAAGAGAAGCCATCAACAAGAAGTTAATAACAAAATGTTAAGCAAACAGAGCTGAGAGATCATAGAATTATTAAATATGCAAATAAATTAGGAAATCTGGCATTTTCAAACATATGGAAGTAGAGAAACACTGCTTTATATGTTTGAAAATGTCAAATTTCCTAATAGAAGGAAATGCAAAATTTGTGTTTCTTTCAAAGAGGACCAGAGGTGCAGATAATCTCAAATCGTCTTTAAAAGCAACACTGTTTTGAATTGTCTTGTCTCTGGATTTCAGTATTCCGATAACAATAATTTCAAATACTTATGCATTTTGAGGGGGAACAAAATTCTAGAAAGATGCCAGGGATCAAAACACCCAACCTGGGTTTCAAAGAATACATATGTGATGTAGATGAAGATTAAAAAATAAAATAAAACTGATGGAAGCTATAATGCTTCCATCTCTTTTTTTTTTTTTTTTTTTTTTTTTTATACACAGAGTGTTAAACAAGGAGACTCAATGGAAGGACGCTGGAAGAGAAGAAACATGGCATCATCAAAAAGCCAGCGAAAGGACACTTCGCAGCACGCTTCCTCTGCCCTCCACTGGACTGGCAGACACTCCAGCTCCGGCGCCGAATGTGAGCCGGCTCGAAGGTCAGCAGCCCCTTTCTGCGTGACCAGACCCCGCTGGTGCCCCATGGAGGGCAACTGTCCCCAGCTATGCAGAGAAGACTGCCGGCCAAGCAGTAGAAGATGCCTCACTGCAGATAAATTTAAAATGCTAAGTGAAATGCAAATTAAAGGGGGAATAAAATATTAAAAGCAAACTAGGATTACCTGAAGCATCATTCCATTAGCCACTTGACTTCGAGTGATTTTTTTCAAGAACTCTTCTCTACCCTGTAAATCATCAAAAACTTTTAAAGAGGAGTCTTTATTTACATAATGTCAGAAAACAGTTTTTAAAGACAACTGCTAACACGAAACACATTTTATTTATGTTGTAATAAAAAATGAAACATTTGTTACAAACTGAGTATTAAAAACAAACAAGCCTGGCCTAGCCACTCTGGCTCAGTGGACAGCGTGTTGGCCTGTGGACCAAGCCGTCCAGGGTTTGATTCTGGCCAAGGCACATACCTTGGTTGCAGACTCCTCCAGGCCTGGGCCCTGGTAGGGGCTCTAGCAAGAGGCCACCAATCAATACATTTCTCTCACATGGATGTTTTTCTCAGTCTTTCCCTCTCTCCTCCACTCTCCCTAAAAATCAGTGAAAAAATATCCTCAGGGAAGGATTAACAACAACGACCAAAAAACAATAACAAGCCTGCTGTTATTTAAGGCAAAGTTAGCATGTGATAGGATGCAGAATTTCAGTTCCAGGGACTTTGTACCTTATGATCTGCAACTAAAATGAGAGTAATCAAAAAGGGGAAAAACTAGCCCTGCAGGAGGCGCTGGAGTGCCAGTTTCGGCTAGATCCCTGTAAACTACGCCAAAGGACCCCACTGGTGAACAAATCCATGCACGGGGCTTCTAGTATGCATATAAGTTATATGCTTAATCTCTTCCCTCACCCCCACTACCTCCTTCCCTCTGAGAGCTGTCATCTGTTCCATGCATCCATATCTCTGGACATATATAGTTAATCAGTTTATTTTGTGCATTAGATGCAACATATAAGTGAGACCATGTGATATTTGTCTTTCTCTGACTGGCTTATTTTGCATAACATAATAATTCTCCAGTCCCTCTATGCTGTCACAAAGGTAGAGATCCTTCTTTTTTGCTGCTGTTGCATAGAATTCCATTGGTAAATGTACCACAGCTTTCTTTTTGTCCTGATGGGCATTTGGGCTGATTCCAGATCTTAGCTATTGTAAACAGTGCTGTTATAAACAAAGGGGTGCATACATTCTTTTTATTGCTGTTTGGGGACTCTTAGGATATATTCCTGGGAGTGGGATCATTGGGTCAAATGGCAATTCCATTTTTAATGTTTGAGAATAGTCCATAAGGGTTTCCACAGTGGCTGCACTAGCCTGCATTCCCACCAGCAGAGTACTAGGGTTCCCTTTTCTCCACATCCTTATCAGCACTTGCTTTTGTTGATATTTTTGATGGTAGCCATTCTGACAGGTGTGAGGAGATACCTCATTGTCATTTTAATTTGCATCTCCCTGATGATCAGTGACATTGAGCATTTTCCCCCTCTCCTTTGGCCTTCTATATGTCCTCTTTGGAGAAGTGTCTATCCAGGTCCTCTTCCCATTTCAAATTGGGTTTGTTTGCTTTCCTTTTATTGAGTTCTGTGAGTTCTTTATACCTTTTGGAAATTAACCCCTCATCATATGTATCATTGGCAAATACGTCCTCTCGTCCAGTGGGTTCCATTTTCATTCTGAGGACTGTTTCGTTGGCTGTGTAGAAGCTTCTTAGTTTGAGGTCGTCTCCACTTGTTTATTTTATTTCCTTTGTTTCTCCTGATCTAAGAGGTGTATCAGCAAAAAGTTTGCTATGTGAGGTGTCCGATGAGGGGCTGACCAGCAGCCCCTGAGCGACGGATGAATGGTTACTCTGACACAGTTTCTGTGAAAGAGAGGACTAAGGCACTACTTGGCTATCGCCAGCCTCCTTTAGCTTTTATTGTCACAACAGCTTGAACTAAAATTAACCTCAAGACACAGTCAGCAGGGTGAGCATTCTTGGGAAAGCACATGCTTCTACAAGGCCGGGTCTAAAGACTAAACAGAGAGATTCTAGCAAAACACCCAAGGGATCAGACTTGTTTGGAAAAGTCAAGGCAGGGGCTGCCACCTCCGGCAAGGTTCCCGACCTTTCGGAGAATCCTCCTCACAGACTTTCCAGCCAAGTCCTGTGCTTCTCCTTAGTCTGAGATTTTACTGCCTCTGTTTTCCTCAAGGACTTTGATGGTTTAGAGACTTATTAGTAAAGTCTTTTGTCCATTTTGAGTTTACTCTTGTGTATGGTGCAAGTTGATAGTCTAGTTAAAGTTTCTTCTGCTTTAGAATCACACCCTGGAACCCCTTATTTGATAGACAAATTCGCTTGTAGATAGTCTGCCCTCCACATTTAAAAGGGATGCATAGCTTTGCAGAGGTAAAGTAGAGGTTCAGAAATGTTTTTAGTATCCCTCCTTCAGTACAACCTCATTCATAGCACACCTCCCTTCCCCCCGCCCAGGGTCTACAGAGACAATATAAAGAAACAATTTAATAAGTCTCTCCTACAACTCTTCTTTTTCTTGCTATAGCAACTCATCAACATTATGCTTTCCTAAAGTGAAAGAAAAACTCTAACATAGGAAAAAGAAATATTCTAAGGAAAGCAATAACTTTATTATATTACCTCACCTAAGGATATACCTACATCTAAAGCCAATTTATATAATGAAATATTTTGAAAATTTTAATGAAACTTAGTTGCTTCTTCTAATATGACAGAAGACATAGTGGTTTATCAATTTATTTAATACTTAATTAAGAGGGAACTAAATTAAACATGCCTCTATAAACTGGAGAAAATACATTATATTCCAAAACAGAGTGCTACATTTGACCTTTGTCAGAAACTAATTGAGGGATGGAGAGAGTAAGAGGGAGAGGGAGGGAGGGAGGGAGGGAGGGAGGGAGAGAGGAAGGGAGGGAGGAAGTGCAAGCGAGCTGAGAAGATGAGTTGGGATGGTAAGCCATGAAACTGAAAAGATAAACAAATACCAGATTATGTAGGATCCCTAAAGCACAATAAGAAAAACAGTGCAGTCGACTGGGCAAGGTGTGTGTTTTAGAAAGGTCACTTTGGCTGCAATATGGGCTGATTCATTTTTGTTTCCTTAAAATTCATTCATTCATCCTTCAAAGTCTTTTATTTTTAATTATAATCAGTAAAACAGTAGTTATTCATTGTTTAAATGAATTTAAGTCCCTGAGCTTAAATATATTAATATTATACAATGGAAGGCTGCTGAAAACAGTATCAGCATTAAATCAATACAAGCTGCTATAGACCTAACTTTCCCGGGTAGCTAGGGTATGGTCTCAGCAAAATACAGATTTGCCTCCTCCACCTTTGTTCCTCCTGTGGGTGCCTTCCCTCACCCTGAGCGGCTGCTGCACACATTTGCCCTTCCTGTACTGTTTAGGACTGGTCATCAAGCTTTCTCTGTAACAGGCTAGGAAGGAAATAATTTAAGCTTTGGATAATAATGTCTCTATCCATTCTGGTTTAGGAAAAAAAAATTAAAATATCAAAAAATCATGTTGAAGAGCTTGAAAGTAGCTGAGGGAAAAGGGGTGAGAGCAACTGCAATGCTGCGGAGAACCCACATTAAAAAGCAATGTGGCCTCTGACCGGCTGCCTGGTTTGACCAGTCAGAAACAGCAGGTGGCAGCAGAGAGCTATGCTACGGGAAGCGCCTCCTAGGACAAAGGACTCTGCGACCAGTGAGTGCTGTGTACAGAAACTCAAGTTCAGAGAAAGGGGTGAACACTATATATGAACATATGAACATATGAAGGGCATAACTGAGGTAGTAGCAGCATTTGGAGGGCACCAAGAAGAAAGAAAACTCATATTGTTATCTAAGCTCTGAGACCAGGAAGAAAGAGAAAGAGATCTTAAAATTCAGAGTTAAATTCATAAAACAAAATTTGGAATTTGTATAAATAACCGAGGGCCGGGCTGGATCAGAGGGGCTGGCGGCTCTGGCTGAGCGCTGTCAGGGCGCTCCTTTGGTGGCCAGGCTCTAACAGAGTCCACGTGGCCGCCCAACCTGGTTCTAAAAATAAACACAAGATATTTTGTTTTTATTTACATTTTTAAAATCTTCACCTGCGGATATCTTCCCACTGATTTGTAGAGAGAGTGAAAGGGAGAGGGACACACACACACACACACACACACATACACACAGAGAAACATTTGATATGAACGAGCCTCCTGCATGTACCCCGAACCAGGGCCAGGCCTCTGCAACCCCAATACATGCCCTTGACCAGAATCGAACCCAGGATCCTTCAGTCTTCAGGCTGACACTCTATCCACCGAGCCAAACTAGCTAGAGCTCTTTATTTTTTGAAAGGAAGGTTTTATGTGTATTTTGTAAAATCACTTTAAAATTACTAAACATATATTAAAATAACTCAGATCCCTAAACCCAGAGATATGCATTATGCCTTTTTAACATATTCCCTTTTAGTTTTATCTTTGGTGAAGTCAGCCTAAGCTTTCTCAGCCACTAAAAATAGCAGAAGTCCCATTAACGTTTTAAAATTCAAAATTGAATAAACTTATAATTTATTCTCATACTCATATTTAACTTCTATTCTATTACTGAGAAATTCATGTATTTAAATTTTCCCACCATATGCTAACTCTATTCATGCTTTCCATAAACACTTACTGAGTGCCTACATTCTAAAGACATATACATTGTCTTTTTCTAGAACTAAAAATAACCCTTAAACATCTAAACAAACTTAAAAGACTAGAAAGTCATACAATGTCTGCTGTGAGACCATAATAGAATTGAACTAGAAATCAATAATACAAAGATACTGGAAAAATCCCCAAATATGTAAAGACTAAATAACATATTTCTAAGTACACATGTTCAAGGTATAAATCTCAAAAAATAGTGGCTCCGTGATTGAGCATCAACCTATGAACCAGATCACAGTTTGATTCCTCATGGGGCACATGCCCAGGTTACAGGTTTTATTCCCAGTGGGGGGCGTGCAGGAGGCAGCTGTTCAATGATTCTTTCTCATCATTGATGTTTCTATCTCTCACTCACTCTTCCTTCCTCTCTGAAATCAATGAACATATATATATATATATATATATATATATATATATATGTGTGTGTGTGTGTGTGTGTGTGTGTGTGTATCAAAATATCAAAAAATCATGTTGAAGAGCTTGAAATATATATATATGTGTGTGTGTGTGTGTGTATATATATATATATATATATATATATTTTTTTTTTTTTTTTAAGGCCTGTGTTTATTTATTCCACTTAGTTTTAGTTTTATTAGTAACCTGGAACAGAGTGGCCTGATGTACTTTTCCACAAAAAGTCCAGTATGTTCAAATAAAGCACCTTCCAAATCCTTGCCTCTGGCTGAGAAGCCTTCTTTTGAAGTATGAAGAAGTATTTAATATCTGATGAGAGCTCTCAGCATTTGTTACACTAGCACAGTCTTCATACAAAGCTGGATGATTCTCTGTTCACCCATCCATAACATAACTGAATACTTATTACTATTTTATTGATTTATCTCCCTTCATTATTGGCTAATTTTACCCTGGGTCTTGGCTAATCTTGTCTTTTCTGAATAGGTCAGTTATTGGAATTGAAGGTATTTAAAAATAAGAGTAAGTCATCTTTAACATTTGGAAAATTCCAGAAACTTCTAGATAATTTTATAGTTCGGAGTTCCTTCTAGTCCATGACTGCCTAAAAATCACCGGGCCTATGTGGAGGGATGTTTCTTCTGGTTTATCAGAGGTAGTCTTTTGTTTTTTTTAAAGACTATTGTAGACTAAATTAAAATCTAAATATCAATACTAAATCAATAAAGTCCAGGTTTATTACAATTTTTCACAACTAAGAAGAACCCAGATGCATTCATTTGTAAGAACGTAACTGGGAAACTCCTCTACTGAGGCTTCAGCAGGCTATTTTTCAGAGCAAGCTTACCGGTACTAGTGCTCTAACTAATTTCTAGAAGGCATGAATTTAAGGATGGATTTCAAGCCAGCATCAACAAGTACACAAAGCTGTCTACCAGAAAAAAAATGAAGTCCGGACTCAGAAAATTATACAGATTTTCATTAATTAGTCGTGAAAGACAGCAGGGCCATTACAAAGGCAGAAACCACAAACCTGAATTGCTACACAGCTGAATTATCTAAGGACTACCTAGAAATTTATTTTCAATGCATTATCATCCTGACACAGATACACCTGTGTACGTCACAGACATTTAATGTCCTACATACTTAGCTCAGAGAGGAGCAGAAGTAGCTGGCAATGGGAAACATTTACCATGGGGAGTAACTCATTGCTGTCGCTTACTCCTAGTTCTCTCTTGGCTACCATGGGGCAGAGGAGGCTCCTGAGGAACCATTTCTCCCATTGTGCTGGGGCAAAGCCGGGGACACTTAGCTCTGGGAGGACAAAACAAGCACGGGAGGGGTCTCACCACCTCTGCACTCTGTCTACAAAGCACACTGTATGGCAACATAAGAACTCAGAAACATAACCACTAAACGAAATAGCTTTCTCATTGAGAATCTCAGGTTATTGAAGCAATATTTCTGAAGAATTAAAGGGACAATTATGGGAAAATATGTGAATGAAGGGTTTCCTATCAATTGAAAAAAATTAAAACGCATGGTTAAGTGACTAAATAAATATTTGACATCTTTATTGATATCCTCAATAAAAGTGTTCATGGATGGCCATAAAGAAACACATAGTAATGGAAAACTCAAGGAAATTATAAACATCATCAGTGATATAACACATGCTAAAGCGTGTGTGTGTGTGTGTGTGTGTGTGTGTGTGTGTGTGTGTAAAATCATATGGCTTACAATTTTAAAACAATTTGAGGGTAATTTTTACTACATATGATTTTGTCATACTAATTTTAGAACATGTAAGGGAGACAAAACCAATGACAAACCCATGTGGGAACAGAACTCAATCTCTCAATGTAGCCACAACCAAGTCCTAAATTTAAGAGAGCAAGGGGTGTGGACATAGAACATGGGTTCTCTGTTTTACAGATTAATTGCAAGATCCTAAGTCTGTAGTAAGAAAACAGCCAACCAGGTAAGAAGGTGGGTGTGGCAAGTGAAGGGCGGACGGAAGCAGCCTGTGGACGAGTCCCTGTGTGTACCGAAATGGAGCTGATGTTGCCAGTCCCTATGCTGAATCACAAGGAGGGACTGCTCATCGTACCTCCAGTTAGGATGGATCTGAGGCCTAGGGGCAGTTGCTTCTGCACATGGTGGCCTATTAGCTGCCTGCTGCGCTGGAACCTAACAACCTGTGGTCCTGATGCAGGTATGCCCTTTATTTACATTGCTAAGGGTGCAAGGGCCCTTCCCAGCATCCCTTCTTCCTAGTGAAGCAGGAATGTTCGATATTAGACATGTAGGAGGCAGCCACCAAGCGCCACCCTTCTGGTGATGCGAGGAGTGGGAGGTCGGTAATAGCAAAAAGCAGACCCAATGCTGGCTAGCTGCATGCAGCCCCTTTCCCTCCTGTTCAGGTTGGGCCTCTGAGGAGGAGGGATGTTTCTTCTGGTTTATCAGATGTAGTCTTTTTTTAAAGACTATTGTAGACTAAATTAAAATCTAATTATCAATACTCAATCAATAAAGTCCAGGTTTATCACTATTTTTCACAACTAAGAACCCAGACATACAAACCTGGAATTTTCTTCTCACTTCTGCTATTTTCTCTTCTAACTCTTCAGTCTTATATCTGGTCAGGTGGAAAACAGCACCGATCTGATAGGCGTCCTTGTACAGCCCTTTAAGATACTCCTCATTTTTCAATTTCAGTAGCATCAAATTTTGGATTTCAGTCTCAATTTCTGATTTTTTCCTTACACTGGAAAAAGTAAAGTATTGACATGATTATTTTCAAAGAGTATATATTGAGGGAACTATATTTATTTATTTATTTATTTATTTATTTATTTAGTCTCCAAAAATGCAAAGAAACCAATAAGTAACTAAAACTAGGGTACAGAAAATATTTCCCACAATTCCACTGATTTTTTTTTTTCCTGCTCCTGTTGGACACTCCCAATTGTTAGGCTGTGCTAGATTTCAGAAGGGTAAGTATGTCGATCAGAAAGCCCTGGGTCCCAGATGCTCAGCTTTCTGAGCATGCACTCACCTGGTCAATCCACCTTTATAACCTGTATCACAATACTGATACCAATCAAATATGAGGAAGATCAAGTCCGTGTAAAAGAGAAAGAAAACTCAACTCAGAAAAACCAATAACTAAAACAGAACTCTCTGTTGGCCCAGAAAGAAACTCACTACAGACTGATTCATTTGCCTTTCAGCATAACCATTATTGCTTTTCTCATTTTCGGTTCTTATAAGTATATTTCCAGTAGGACATGATCTCACTCATCTAGGGGAAATGATGAACAACATAGACTGATGAGCAAGAACAGACCCAGAGACAAGGAGCCATGGGTCAGACTGTTGGACCTCAGAGGGAGGGTGGGGATAAAAGGGAGAGATCAACCAAAAGACTTGTGTGCATACATATGAGCCTAACCAGTGATCAAGGACAATAGAAGGGTGGGGGTATGAGTGGGGAGGGGTGGGGGGTGGGAATGGGGGGATAAGGACAAATATGTGATGCCTTAATCAATAAAGAAATTAAAAATAAAATAAAATAAAACAAAACAGAACTCTCAGGAAGAAAAGCAACAGCTGGGGGTACAGGGGGAGTTAATAGAGGAAAAATGTAAGACACAAATATCAGTATAAGATTTTCACAGAGAAATACTAGTCTTTAAGGAAAATGAACAAGTTATGTTTCCCGTCCAGATTGGGTACTGTCTTTGTTCCAAGAACATACTACTACTGACACACTTAATATAAAAGCAAATATATATATATATATATATATATATATATATATATATATATGAACACAAAATGGGAATGGAACTTGAAAGCAAAGCAGGAGTGGAGGGAAGGGACGAAGGCATTCCAATCGATGTGACTCCAGCAAGGTTCACTGAGCTGCATCGTAGCCCTATGGATTGTACTTGTTTGGGAAAGAACCAATGAACCCATGGGAGCTTTCCTATATAATAAAAGCTTAATATGCAAATCAATGGAACTGTGGAACCACCAATCACTATGATGTGCACCGACCATCGGGGGCAGGTGCTCAATGCAGGAGCTGCCCCTAGCCTGCAGGCCCCAGGCCAGCCTAGGCGATGCCAAAAGGGGGGTGTAGGGGGTAAGGGAAGGGTTGGTGGAAGGGGAGGGGAGGGAGCATGATAGCCCCATTGGTCACCCTGATCACTGGCCAGACCTGGGGACCCTACCCAGGCAGGGTAGGTTTATAAAAGCTAGGAGTTGGGGCATTGGGAAGCGAAGATCATGAATTAAAAACACAACCAATGAGCAAAAAAAAAAAAAAAAAGTTCTATTCAGCAGCAAATGGACTGCAATGCTAATGAGCGTCTTCATGGGTGCTTCTACATGGTCATAAGTTTTGATCAAGCTTGCAAAAATTAGATATTTTAACCAAAACTTAAGACCATTTTTTTTCTCATATAACATGTCCTTTGTCAAGGGTCATCAAATGGCTACAGGCATTCTATATTCATCACCTTGCATTCTTTTCTCAGAGAGACTTCACCTCTGTGGCTCCCAAACCAGGATCCACCCAGGTGAGATTCATCAGCACCGCTGTGTTACTTCAGCATCATGCAGCTCTTTTGACCTTGATTTAGTTCACTGACAGATCTTTCCAAGTCACTGAAAGAATGTGTAGAAGGCTATGTAAGTGAGGCTTATTTTGATCAAATACAGCTAGTCCCTGTGAGAAAGGAAGAAAGAACATGAAGGCCGGGCATAGAAATGTAGTAGTGATGACAGAATGTCCAAGAGTTGTCCAGGTGACAGTACTGGGAGAGCAAGTGAGTAGGAAAGAGAGTTACTGGCTATCAGAGTGGACTCTTAAGCTGACATCAGGAAGAGTCTCCCTTATTGGAAGAGAGATGCAAGACAAAACTATGAGAGAGCAGACTAGCAGGTTTGGCTCAGTGGATAGTGCCTTGGCCTGGCAGACTGAAGGGTCCCAAGTTCAATTCCAGTCAAGGACACATGCCCGGTTGCGGGCTCCATCCCCAGTAGGGGGCGTGTAGGAAGCAGCCAATCAATGATTATTTCTCATCATGGATGTTTCTCTTTCTCCCTCTTCCTTCCTCTCTGAAATCAATAAACATATCCTTTAAAAAAAAAAAAAAAACTATGAGAGAGGGTGGTTGGTATGAGATGGAAGAAGAGATGGATGGACACATGGAGGTCTAAGCTGAGAACCCGAGTTCTAGCAGGCACTGAACACAGACTACATCCAGGCTCTGACCACCTGTGCAGGGCGAGAGGACCACAATGGGAAATGTGATTTATTGTACTATTTCACTGCCTTACAAAAAGTATAAAGTAGGCTGACATATTGGTGAAGCGTTCATTGTGAATGATTCCTATACCCTTTTCTCTTTTCATATCTGAAAAGTTAAATAAAATAAAAACAAAATAACAACACTACTTGTGCAAGTTTGCTGTTAAATGCTGAAAAGAAATCATATTCTACACTCATCTGAAGTAACTCAGATTACTAGGCTGGTAAGATAGAGCTAAATGAGTCTGACAAACACGGTGCCCTGTGGATTCATTCTAACCATTCCAGGCTGCTTAACAACTTCAATAACATTTGTTATCTGTATGAATTGATCACCACCCTGTTAACTCGTGATAAACGCATTTCCTAGGCGATACCAGGAGGCCTTCATGGTGTCGATAGCTCCTCTGCTCGTCTCCCTCGATTATCAACCTCGTCTTTGGATCGCTGCTGTTACAAGGCATTGTCTTGCCTGAGGTACAGTAGAGTATTAGGAATAGATATTTGGAATATTTTACACAGCTTGAATGTAAGAAAATGGCTATATGGAAATCCACACCACACAGTTAGCTTCAAATAAACTAAATCCAAATTAACCAATTTCAAACCACAAGTTCCATTTTCCTTGACTGAAGCTGCAGTGCTTGCCTGTCCTGTGAATATGCAATCAAGTGAGATTGTTGGCTCAAACGTCCCAAAGTCTTATTTCTGATGGATGCTGGCTTATTTGAAAGACAAAATTATCAAATTATACACTGCTGCTCCAAGGTTAACAACTGTATCCCATCACCACCACGCAGAGGTCTGGCAAGAATGTGTCTGCACAGAGTACTGAACAGAGTTGGTTAACAAATGCACCCTCTCTCTTTTAATGCTGCCGTTTAAAAAATAAACTATATACGAACAATAAGTCATATACTTATTATGTAACTTATTCAAACAGCATCAAATGGTGAGACTGTATTTAGTGGAATCTTCGTGTATATAACAGCCCAAAATTTCCTGGATTTTCCCTAGATGTATGAATGTCAGTGACTTGTTTTAAAATTTTTCTTCTTTTTATTTTTTTATTTTATTTTTTAAAATATATTTTATTGATTTTTTACAGAGAGGAGGAGAGAGGGATAGAGAGCTAGAAACGTCGATGAGAGAGAAACATTGACCAGCTGCCTCTTGCACACCCCCTTCTGGGGATGTACCAGCAACCAACGTACATGCCCTTGACCAGAATCGAACATGGGACCTTTCAGTCCGCAGACCGACGCTCTACCACTGAGCTAAACCAGTTTCGGCTTTCTTATTATTTTTAAACTTAATTTAAAAAAGAACCTAGGGCTAAAGGGAAGGCGATTCAAGTAAATGGTAGACTAACAATGAAAAAATGAAGGACAGGGTAAGAAGATCAAGAGCTCTAGTCAAATATACAAATGGAAAATTGAGTAAAACAATAAGTGAGCTGACATTTTTTGAAGTAGTTAGTAAATGTCATGTCCACAGTCTGCTGTAACATGTCAGAAATAGGCACCTCACCCTGGCCTGTGTGGCTTGGTTGGAGTGCCATCCAGTACATCAGTAGGTCAATGGTTTGATTCTCAGGTAGGGCATATACACCTAGGTTTGGGGTTCAATCCCTAGCTTGGGAGCATAAGGGAGGCAATGGATCCATCATGTCTGTGTCTCTCTCTCTCTCTCTCTCTCTCTCTCTCTCTCTCTCTCTCTCTCTCTCCATACCCCCACCTCCCTTCCTCCTTGCCTCCTTGCCTTCCTCCTTCCCTCCTTCCCTCCTTCCCTCCTTCCCTCCATCCCTTCCTTTCTCTCTCTCTCAAAAAAAAATTTAAAAAAATCAATAAACATATCCTCAGGTGAGGATTAAAAAAATAAAAAAATAAAAAAAGGAAACTTGCAATGGAGGAGAAGAGATAGTGTCACTAAGTGATAAAAACATATAGATTTTGGAGTCATTCATACTGAAATCCCAATTGCTCCTTGTGGAACTGGGAGGTTGGTTTCATGTTCAATTTCCTTATCTATAAAATTTGCTTAGTAACAGCTACCATTTAGGTTGTTATAAAGATTAAATATGAAGCCCTGGCTGGTTTGATTCAGTGGCTAGAGCGTCCGTTTGCGGACTGAAGAGTTCCATTCCAGTCAAGGGCCTATCCCTGGGTTGTGGGCTCAGTCCCCAGCAGGGGGAGTGTAGGAGGTAGCTGAACAGTGATTCTCTGTCTTTGGTGATGTTTCTCTCTCCCTTCCTCTCTGAAATCAATAAAAAATATATTTTAAAGATTATATAATAGTAATACAGCAGGTCCTCTAATTACATCAATTTGTTCAACATCGTTTCATTTTAATGTTGGTGAGATACAACAGAGACTAACTCTGTTTTTATCAATTAGCCAATGGCAAAACTGGCTGCCTTCTCTGTCAATCCGCTGCAGTTCCAAGTA